TGTAATGCCCGTGAACCAGATGTGTATTTTTGGGTGGTGCGTCGAGCGACACAGGGGAGTTGCGTCGAGCGACGCAGGGGTTTTCGCGTCGAGCGACGCATAGGAGATGCGTCGAGCGACGCAAATCCTTAATCAGACCGGGGAGTCGGGTTTGATCGCACGGTTTGCGTGTTGGTTTAAGGGAAACCCTAGGTTTTGATATAAAAGGCAGAAACAGTGTTCTGGCCGTTTTTGTTGATCAGAAATCAGAAGAGAATTGTTGAGAGAAGAGTTAAGTGTTTGTGTGTGAGAGACAGCTTCTGATCGGATCTTTGAGAGGGCAAACGGCGRGGCTTTTCGCGGCRGATTGGGCTGATTTTTGGAGGGTAAGTTCTCCAATCTCTTCTCGTGCTATAGGCGAAAACGGTTCGTCTTTTGGTTGATTATTCACCGAGTTATGGCAGTTTGAATTCGGTGGGTTTGTGTAGATTGTTGTCTGCGATCAGTCGGTTTCAGAGGGGAATTCCGATTGAACCAGAAGGAGTATGGAGGCGATCCTCATACCGACGCGTAGCTGGTTGTGTCTAGTTTCCAGAACAGTCGCCTGTTTCGGAATTGGATCAGCGGTTCGTCGTGTGTGAGGGTTTAAGTAAACGTCATTCATTCGTTTATTTCGATCCTTCGAGGTGAGTGCGTGATCGTGGGTTGTGTGGGCATAGGGATAGATGAAATGCGTTTGTTTGTTGTCTTCGTGTGTTCTATGTCTGGATCGTGCAGGTGACTCGATAATTCGCGACGGATTCGAGCCACGAGAGGATGGGCTCATTTCTGTGAAGTCGCGTCGACCGACGCCAGGGTTGTGCGTCGCTCGACGCTGACGTTKCGYGTYGACCGACGCCATGGTGGCGCGTCGCTCAACRCAGACGCTTCGCGTCGACCGACGCCTAGAGGTTGCGTCGCTCGACGCAGAGTTCCTGTATGGGTTCTTAATTGGCTGTTATTATTGCTTGCTTGCGTGCTCATCCTGGTATTTATCTTTCATATGTCTATACTTAA